GACCTATCCACATCATCATTTACCCAGAATGCTTTGTGTGTAAATAAAATGGCCCCGTTCGTATATTTTTAAACTTTCACTTTAAAAATTATGAAAACTAAACACAGTATTTTTACAGTTAAAATACGTTTATCAAATAAAGTCTATTGTTACAAATAATCATGGATCCCTTTAACATTTTCAAAGCCTGCCTAGTAGATTACAGTATATTATAGTTATGCTGGTGGCTGCCAATGTGGGCACAAAATAGTCTGAATAGGCTAAGAWGCTGCTTGAATAATTTCACCTATGTTACTTCTGAATGTTGARATACAAGATGGAAAATACATAATTAAATTTAAATGCAGTTTGTCAGAAACTGAGTTGCTATAAAAAATATTGTACTGTAGACCCAACAAAKCAAAAATCAAAAACAACAGGATGATAATAAGAGGTCACATGTTGCGCACCAGTGGCTTACGATGAATATGCCAAAATACAGCTGGAAGACAGAGGCGAAGAGGGCAAAGGCCACCGTCCTCGCCCCAATAGTGAAGAAGTGCCACAGCATCTGGGCAATCACGGCCTTGTAGGACATGGGCAGCTTATCATCACGGGAGTCCCGGAGAACCTTCTGGTAGGACGCGATCATCCAGGCCAGTGAAACCAGGGAGGCTGAAGCTGAGAGGCCTATTGAGAAAGAGCAAGTGTAGAGGAAAAAAACTGAGAGGGGGAAAGGGCAAGTCAAAAAACATAGGAATACTTAGATGATGAAAKAAATAGGCCTGCAGATAAACACATTAACAGTCAACAAATAAATGCTGAATCAGAGTTCACAATATTGTTCTTCTGATTTATATGTTTCCCTTCCTTTTTTCAATTAAACTACTTCTGCATATTTTGTGCTTTTTGAATATTTATACATTAAAACATTTGTCTCCACTGTGAATGTGTGGATAAGGCTTTTGTTTTTTTGTACATTTGATGATCTGGCCTGGCTTGTTTTCTGGCCAAGTTTCAAACAATCCAAAGCTTATTATTTTTTTACTTAGACTTAAAAAAGTGAATAACAATGATCAATATGAGATCAAATAAATATCAAAAATGACCATTTTCACCTCAACTGTGGAGATTATGACACTCAGCTTACCCAGAGCCAGAGGTGGCAGAGGAAGTAAAGGGAAAACGCTACGTGTGCTAGCCGTTAAGGGAGTGCCACAAATGTGGAAGAAAACAAAAAGTGTAAATTTCTTATACAAAAAATTCAGGGGTGGGCAGCACTAATCAATGCTAGTTGCATAAATTATTCAGGTCTTCAAGTTCTAAAGCATTTGCGCTCAATAAAACTTAGTTGAAGCTAATTATAAACACAGAATTGTCTCTGAGCTCACCGGAGTACATTCCAGTGCTAACATAAGCCACTCTTGCGTAATACTGCCGACCAGAGGAACATCACTTTACTTTTACAGCATTGCACTTATCCCATTTAGTTTGGGGAGGTTATTTGTTGAAACAGACTTTTGGCTCATGGTGTTAAATAAACAGTTGATGAGGATTGATAGTTCTGCTGCTTCTTGGTTATTTTCTCATGTTTATGGTAGGGATTCAATAAGAAAGCAAGCAATATATTCATCATTTTAAATTGTTTATTGGAGAACTGAAGCAATGCATTCTGGGTACAGGACGGATTGGTGACTGAAACAAAAACACGGAAGACAGAAAACTGTCTTCACTTCAAAATAAGAATATGAATTTAAACCATTTCCCTACTTATGTTATGGCTCCAGTTAYCTCCCCTTCTCCAKGAGCATKGTTCTACTCTGGTTTGGGTTTGTTCGGTTCTGCTYAGGTGTGCATATGTCTCCATGTGTCCCTCACTCTGTGTGTGAGTGATTATGGTCAGACCATCTACAGCACTGTTGTGTTTTTACAAAAGGTTTTAATGTTCGGTTTTTATTTTATTTATGTTTACATCTGCTTGTGTGACCGTGGGCGGCAAGTTTGTTTGGATATCTGCTTGACTTCATCTCCTTCACCTCTCTCCAGAAAGTGTTTACAAGTTCTGCCTTTCTTAAGGAGGAAGTTTGCACAAGTAATGCCTTTCCTCTGTCAATCAATTCATGAACAAATCTATGGACAGCACTCTGCTGACATCAGAATCGTACGTGTGCTGACTCGCTTCTACCCGGAACCACTGGAGAGCAGGTATGAACTGCGCAGTTGGAACCTGGAGACACATTTGGCCAAAGCTGAACTGAGCAGAACCACAACAGGCTTAGAGGTGGAGAAGGGCTGAGACTGGGAGAGTCGCCCGTTGATGTAGCTCCAATTGCTTCCTGCCAAATAAACGCAAAGAATTGTGAGAATACAGTGGCTCTGCATTGTAGTCTTGAGACGGCTTTCTTGCTCCGCTGTTAAAGATAATGACAATCAATAGGGAGAAAGATTAAACAACTGCCCCTCACTACCCAACTTTGATATTGCTATTATGTTTATTACAGTTTTATCATTGCAAAATTTAATGCTCCATTCATACTTAATTTAAACAGAATTTAAACATCTGTACTTTTACAATATACTTTTTTACATACTTTAACATATTTTTTAAAGACATTTTCTTTTTTAACACCTCCCTTTTCTTGCCCCCTCTTATTGGGAGTGAGCCAGCTTCTTTGATTTTCACAGGTGCCTGATGTGTGGACAAACTGTTGAAAGGAATTAACATATTATATCCTCTTCCTGCAGACTTTGTGTTATAGTTTTTAGTTTATCTGTCTCAGTCTTAGTCTTGTTTTTTGTTTTCTTAGTCTTGTCATGTGTTTTTAGTATTTAGTTTTCAGCCTGTTTCAGTCTTGCTCCCCCTCCCATCACAGATCCACCACTACCCTGCCTCCACTTTATCAAGCTCATGCAACTCACCTTTATACTTTTGCTTTTAATCCTGCCATCTCCCACACTCCAGTGCCAATTTACCATCAGCCCAGCCTATGGTCTACCAGTGTTCTGTTCCCATGTCCTGTTCTTGCCTTGGTTCCTCGTGCTCATCCTCAGCCCTTGTCGGATACCTCCAGTCATCTGCTCCTCCAGTTATGACCCTGGCTCTGTTTCTCGGACTCCTGCCTCTCATCTCTCCCCTGCTCGGCACCACAACATCTCTGACTTCCTGGTTTACGATGCTCGCCTGCTCCCTGGATATAAGAGTTAAGTCTTTCCTCCTCAACCTGGTAAAACCTCTGATTTTTCTGTGTATGATCCTTGCCTGTGCCACGAACCTGAATCTGCCTATCGAACCATTAACGTCTCCGAAGTTCATCGGTGACGTCATCGTGTTTACCCGGAAYGAAACCAACACAGACCGTGTTCCCTCAAGGAAGTTTCCTTTTTACACCAGGCTGGAGGCTATTATTTTACTCTGTGCCTTAACCCAGTTTCACCCAGCCACTAACTTGTTTTCTCTGTGTTCAGATTACCTGGCTCAATATCCTGTTTGGCTCCAGCTCCACACCAGGTTAGGTTAGCAATTTAAATAAACACTAAAAAAGAAAAAAAATTGTATAGGTCTTCTGGACGGGTTCTTCTCTAATGAAACGTTTCGTCTCTTCTCCAAGAGACTTCTTCAGTCTGAGAGTTTCAGGCAAAATTCAGGCTTTTGTGATGTGACTGATACTTACATCACATGGCTATCGTTGATGCCTAATTAACACTTATTGTTACCAGGGGGTGGAGTGATACTGGCAATAGCCGCGCTGTAGGAGGGGGACAGCTGAAAACGGAGGCCTCCACCTCTGTTTAATGATGGACGGTCTTTCTTCACAAAAAAGGCTTTTTTTACTCCTGTCTCAAACCAACATTCCTCTCTATCAAGAATGAGAACATCCTCATCTCTGAAAGAATGACCGCTGGCCTGTAAATGAGTGAAAACTGCAGAGTTCTGGCCATTAGACGTAGCTCGTCTGTGTTGGGCCATTCTTTTGAACAGTGGCTGCTTTGTTTCCCCGATGTATAACTGGTCGCAGTCCTCCTGGCACTTAACAGCATATACAACATTGCTCTGTTTGTGCC